TCTTAATATCACTAGAGATAGATTCTAATGATTATTTATAGTTAGTGGTGCTTTTACACTTACATAAGTGTTAGGATTTTATTCCTTACACCCTAAAATCGGGGTGATCACTTAATTGCAAAGCTTTTTCTTTATCTTATTATCCTAACTTAGTATCTAACAATCCTCCCTTTGTCAGGGAATGATTATTCGCGATCGTATTTAAATGACCCTCTAGTCATTATGGTCCTTCTCTTAGGGTTTATCAAACCTTGGTTCTCCCTCTAGATCCATCATATTGAATATTCCTTTAGAATATTCCTACCCCATTAGAATTGAATTAGGCTCCAATACTAATGTTAGGATCTTATCCCTTACACCTTAAGCTAACTAACTAAAGGGGTGATCACTTTATTGTAAGGCCCTTTCTTTATCCTATTATCTTGATTTAATGCATAATAATAAATCTTTCTATTAGCTAAAGATGTGATGTGATGTTATTAGGTATATATGTAAGTATGTTTAGTGCTAAGCTCATAATACTCTCTCTCATGTTGTGGAAGTACAGTTGAAGTTAATTACAATTTTTTGTTTATTTGAGTTGGTGGTATTTGATTTGATGGCTTTTTCATGGTCAACTACTAACAATGAATATGTTATTATTGCTTCTGAGTAGAAATTAAAGTTTTTGTTAGTGCAATTGGATATTTCCCCCTCAATCAAATCGTGTTCCAACATTTATATCTAGAGTGATTTTTTTCAGATAATTGTTTTGCATTTATAATTGAGGCATTTCATGTCTTAATGTTCCAGTTGGGGATATGCCACACTTACACTAATGCTTATCATTCATATTCAAATGGTTTGGTGGAATAATTTGTTCGTACTTTCAAAGGGATAATAACTTTCAACATTCAAATTGAGATGTTTATTTGCTTTTTTTTTTGTATACCTATATTATAAGGGTGTAGAGTTTTGTTGGTGCATCATTATATAAACTTCTATATAGTGATGATCTAATACTACTTACAAAATTGAATTTATCTTCATAGTTGTTATGAGTTGTTAATGCTAAATTTTAGGATTAATATTTGACAAGCATTCTCCCATGTGTCCGAGCAAAGTTTGTTGAACACCTGGGGTAAATATAAATGAGACAACAACAATGTTATAACTCCCATCTTGTCCATTTATAAAATACAAAGTGGATGACTTAGTGTTAGTCCATTTTCCCAATTTTACAGTATATAGTTTCCATTTTCATATTCCATACAGTCACACATTATTCTTTAAAGTATCTTTTTATATTTATTTTCTAAACCTCATAGGCAAATAAAAATCTCATATTGCTATTTTCATTGGCTTTCACTAGGAAGCTGCTCACATTGATGTTGATGCCCTAGCGCTGCTCAGTCTGTTCTCGGATAGCAGTTTGCATTGTGGAAATGCTCAAGAGATGCGTGAAACTTTGCAATTTCATCTTTGCCTTAAGGTGCAGATTGTAGAGAACTTGCTTAGCAGGTGAGAGGCATGGATCGATACCCAGCATCTCCAAATCTTTTCGCAATAGGAAGAGCATGCGTTTTGACAGGCTTATGTTGTCTTTCTCTGGTCGCTCCATGCGAGTGGAGACCTGCATTGCTGGGCGATGTTCTCCACTTGTCCCTCTTTTCCTCTCCGTACGGAGCGCGCTGGGCTTCAGAGAAAAGGTGAGCGTGGATATTGGCAATAGGCTTCCCGTCTTTAGCGTTCCAAACCTCGACCAGGGCTACGGCCAGCATGGTCTCGAATGCTAGGATTTACTATAAGATCTTAATTTCCTAGCATTCTTTCTGGTTTTAGGGTTTTTGATTGGAGCTTCCATGGCGGCCGCTGCCGGCGACCAGACGCTCTGGGCCGATGCGACGGAGATCATCTCCCAGGTCTGCCAAGGTAAGCAACAATCTCTCCCTCATCGCGCCTGCGATTTCGGCGGCATTGAGCTCGGCTGCTTCTTTTTTCCAGAGCTCAGTCCCGGGGAGCTCATCCATGGCGAGAATTTCAGCCTCTTCGAATCAATGTCGGCTCTCGAGGCAAGGATTTCGAGGCATTGCGCTAGCAGCGCTGCTAATGGTGTGTGCCTGGGCAGATTATGGATCCCAAGATGGATGGAGGGATGGATATTGGAGGACCTAAGTCTGTCGAGGACGCGATTGCGAGTGATTTGGCCCCGACCGACTTGTCCATCGCGCAGATCATCGATATTATGGATCACCTTCTCTCGTGTGAGGTGAGGAAGCTAGGAAAGCTCGATGAGAAGCATTCTCATTTTTACTTTGTCCCTGTTTTCCAGGCTACTTGGCACAGGGGTCATTCCTTAGCACAAACAGTTTTCTCGAGCATCTACATGCTCAAGCTGGTGCACACCTCGTCAATGCCGGTCTTGCATGCGTACTGCAAGATCACTCGAGCAAGCTGCAATATCGTAAGAACAGCCGTGGCTTTGGCTCACACTCACGAGGTTATTTTCTCTCTTTCCTTCTGACGTCTGTGCTCCATGTATTGTTTTAAGTTGGTTTCGTGTTTCCTGTTTGGCTTGCAGGAGGAAGATCTCTTTGTTATTTCCTTCGGACTTCCAGTCGACCACGATGACGCGGATTGCCTGGCGGTTCTCAACGCGGCGGAGGAAATGTGTGTACGAAGTTTGAGATCGGCGTCTGGGAAGAAGGCTGCAAGCGATGCACGAAGCTCGAAGTCGGCGTCTGGGAAGAAGCCCGCAAGTGGTATTTCTTATTGGCTGGATTTTTTCTTGGATGGTCAATCATTGATATGTGATGTTTACAGGTGTTGTTCCCCTACAGGAAAACCCAGAACTCGAAGCCGATTATTGCCAGAGTGTGCTCAGTCGTCTCCGCTTTCGAAAGGTATTTTTTACCGCTCTCGTCTTGTCGATGGTTTCTCACTTTAATTGTGCAGGCTTTCAGTCAAATACACGTTCATATGAACAAGCCACAAGGGAAAGGCCTAGAAACTGCAAGAAAACACATTGCCACGGCTCTGACTGAGCTCTCACTCATACAGGAGTCAAGAGCTTTTCTCTCTTCTCAGCATTCTTCTCAAGATCCAAACAATCTTTCGTCTACAACAGCCTCGGGGCGTGGCGTGGTTGGCTTTTTCGAAAACATTAACCGGTCCCTTTTGCCACCGACTCCTCCCCGCTCGATGAAACTGCTCCCATGGTCCGAGGTAAGCATTTACATGGGAATTTCACCGTGCTTTCGAGTTCATATTGCATCGTTGGTAGTCTGTCAGGCCTTGGACTATTTTGTGCGCTTGCTGAATGATTTGGATCGCGTGTGCTCGGTGCCACTCGATATGGAACTCGAAGAACTCATGCAGCTGATTGTTGATTTTCAAAAGTCACATCCAGATCTTGTAGCAAGGGCCCGAATGCAGGTACCTCTTTTCTTTTTATGATTGTCTCTTCTAATGGATGACTCTTGCAACCAGCGTCTTGTAATTCAAGACAACAAGCTGTTTGGAATCCGGCCTATGAATGATGTGATTTACAAGGCTGCTTATTCTCGTCATGAGGCTCCTCGCGACGATGTGCTGGAGAATTCTTTTCAGCAAGCTGGATGGGTCTGTTAACTGAAGATATCCTTTTAGCCATAGGCTAATGAAAACGTTTGTTTGCAGTTAACGCTCACTTTGCTGAAGGTATTGTGCGCACATCCGGCATGGCAATGCCGGAAGCTCGGGAAGAGTTTAGACGAATGGAGTGATTTGTTTCATCAAGTAAGCTACCACCCCTTGTCAAAGAGATGTTAATATTGTTTTTTCTTCTAGGTGGATGTTCTTGGTATGTCTTCGGAAGAATTCAAGAAGAAGGTAGGCACGTTGGCCTTGGTATCACAAAATTGTTACGTCTCTTGGTTTTGGCCTTGGCAGTGTGAGCCTTTTACGACATGGATAGGCTGCCAGGCTTCTTGGATCGCAAAGCAATACTTAATGCTGGGATTCGACCTTGGCTTGTATTCGCCAGATGACTATTGCATGGTCTATCGGTACGTTGATTATAGTTTTCGTTCACATTTATGTTGTCCAGGTGGATGCAGGTACCTTGATCACGTCCTGCTGACATATTTGCACTACAAACTGGCGAAAGAGAAGGAAAAGGACGAGGAGCAGTCTGAAGAAAAGAAGCCGTCATCACTTGTAGCAGGTGCTAAAACTCATTTGTTTTCGCAAGGCGGGCCTTGTGGAAGCAAAGATTGCAAAACTTTTGTTTCAGTGGGCTCACCAGAGGGCGTCTCTTGTTGCTAGCCAAGAAGAAGTCGAAAAAGAAAAAACCAGGAAAGAACCCAGACCCAAAAATTATCTTGCTGCATTGCCTGAGCGACCTCTGCAAAGGATATATTTGGGTAAGTTACACTCTAGAGTTCACACATTCTTTACACATTTGTTTTCAGATGCTTGACGGGCTGATCAAAGACGGTAAAATCCAGCAAAGAAAAATGGAATTCACCACCGAGCGAGAGGTTGTCCTGTTTCTTTTCTGCTTTGCTTACGATTTAACTTTCTCTTTTTCTCCAGAGATATACTCAACGATTCGAGCTGCTGCTGAAATTGTTGGTACCGTCGCCACTATCTTTTGCTCGTTTCAAAGAAACTACAAGACTACGGCAGTACTCGGTAGATGATTTCTTTCCTTGTTGCCGTGTTTCCATCTGGAATTTTTGTTTTCCATCGTGCAGGCCAGTGATCTCTACCAGTATGCATGCAAGCAGTTCATGGCTGTGGAGCAGTGCTTGCGAAACTTGAGCATATCACGCGGTGAAACTCCGGAGTTGAGCCACGCGCAAAGCATTTTGGAGATAAAGCAGCTCGAGCAAGTTGTGTCGAGGAACAAAGTAGCGCTCCAGATTGTGGACAGATCTCAGCCAGGCGAAACGCTCAAGGTGTCGTTGCAATTCTCACAACACCCAGCCTTTGGCGTCATCGTCGTCAAGAATTCGTGAGGCGCCAGAGTAAACTTTCTCTTTTTTCTGAAAGATTTTTGCCATTGACGATCATGGTGTGTGTAGCTTTGGCTATACTGAACGATTTTCACAAGCTCAAAGTCACTGAATTTCTTCTCGGTGAATTCAAGGGACGATCCAAAAAAGCTCTTGATCTTCGAGAGAAGTTGCCACGATTGTCTTCGTGACTTCTCATCGGCCGAACGGAAGATCACTATGATCGCTTTGAGAGCTGGCTGGGCAGGGCGGGGTCGGGACCTCTGGAGCTCCTGTCTCTGGGCTCGTTTGCATCAGCTCTAGCAGACCCTGGTGTAGATCTCTCCGGCCATAGCGGCGACAAAGCAACCACTCGTCCGATGAAGATCAGAGTGGGAGACACGAGCTGAGTTGCTGCTACTTCGCTCGGCAGATTGGCGAGCTCGGCAAATACCTGAAAGTGAATCGAGAAAGATTGCTAAGCCGCGGAGATGAGAGTGGTGAAAGGAGCGTACCGTTCGCTGTTGCTCTGTGGTGCCTCGTTCTATGGCGGCTGCCGGAGTATCGGGAGGAAGTCCATTTGCGATAAACCTCTCTGCAAGAGCTGGGAGTGTCGCAAGTCCCATGTAGATCACAAGCGTAGAATCGGGGTCTGCCGCTTGCTCTGCGACGTAGAGAGGATCTTTCCCTCCTTTCCTTGCATGACCCGTGAGAAATCTTACGCTGCATGCAACGGGGTATGAATGAGACGAACTTCACACGAAAGATGGAACTTTTACCTGTTTGCGACGCCTCTGTGAGTGAGAGGTATCCCAAGTCCAGCAGCAATTCCAGACGCTGCAGTGATACCTTGCGAAAGAAGATAATGTAGTTTGAGAAACTAGCAGCTGGGAGGAGGAAAGGATTTAGAGCTACCTGGGACGACAGTCACAGCAATTCCTTGCTCTTGGAGGAAATCCATTTCTTCACCTCCTCGACCAAATACCTGCAAGAATGGCCTTTGAGGAGAAATATAACACTAAGAGAGAAAGTTCATACCAGAGGATCACCTCCCTTGAGCCTTAAAACGGTGGCGCCAGCCTCTGCAAAATTGAGGAGCAGCTCATGAATCTCGTCCTAAAACCAAGAGATGCCAGGAAATTTACTTCCTCCTTAGAAACGATCAAAATGAAAGAAGGAAACAAGAAGAAAGTGTGGCTTACCTGGGTGCGACTGTGGTAACCGGAAGTTTTTCCCACGTAGAGCAGCTTGGCACCTTCGTGAACCATGTCCAAGATGCTCGTAGAAACAAGCCGATCGTACAAGACTAAGTCTGCTGTCCTCATCAAACGCACTGCCTTGACAGTGAGAAGCTCGGGATCTCCAGGCCCAGTTCCAACCAAGAACACATTCCCTGCTTTCCATCTCTTGGAGGGCGACGATGGATCGCTTCCTTCTTCCTTCTTGCGCTGCCTTCTCAGCAGTTCCAGAACCTCTCGCAGCTCTGGCAATCTCGTTGCTATATCATTCTCCTCTTCGCGAGAACTCTCAGAGGTGTCTTCCCGGCATCCTGGACAAGAATTTTCTACACCGCCGCTGCGAAATTCTAGCCTACCCCCTCCTCGTACTTTCTTGATCGAATCCTTCTCAGTGAATGGAGAAATCGAGGCTCTTAGCCTGAGTTGGGAGAAACGAGCCGACGATCCACGATCTCCTCTGGCGGAGCAAAGCTCGGCGCTGCTCTCGGCGATGCAGCGCGAAATATCGGAGCTGGAGAAGATCGCCCTGGTAGCAGCAGCAGCTAGCGCCATGAAAGAGATTCACGCTGCTAGCTCCCCGAGCTACCGGAAGATTTCTAGAGAATGTACCTGGCGCTTGGGAGTGATGGATGGATCGCGTGGTGGAAGGGTGGCTCTCCTAAAACCCTAGAAGGAAGAGGAGAGCAAATAGAACCCATTCAGCCCATGGCGGCATGGAAGGGGCAATGGTCCAATGGCCCCATTCAAGGGCCCCTAAAATCCAACGGCCCTCTTTTATAACCGCCCTATCCCTAAACGCCAGAGTGACGTGGAAAGGGCAAAAAAATATTTCGAGGGAGAGGAGGGAGCTTGCATTTCAAAGCTCTCGCACGGCGCCAGGGCTAGGGTTCTTCGATCGCCGCCAAGAATCGCGAGAAGGAGCCGCCGGATCCCTGCGCAATGCCTTGAGGTATGATCCGATCCAACAGGCGCCTGGATAGGATGGATGATTCGGGTGCTCTACGTTAGAAATGCGCAAGATCGCCAGGGTCACGGGCTAGAGAGGTAGAGATTATGGAGAAGCGATCGCTGCCGCTGAATTTCTACTGCCGGAGCGCCAGGCTGCTGCTCAAGAAGGCCACGTTTTCCAGGAAATCCAACTTGCTGGCCGAGGAGCTCCGGCATCTCAAGAAGTTTACCACGCTTGCGTTCTCGGTGATTCCTTCGCATCCCGAGTATGAGGACGAGAAGGGCAGGAAGCTTGCCGAGGACTTGGAGGACTACATGGATGATGTCCGGGAGAGGATAGAAGAGCTCGAGGAGGAGCTCACGTCAACTAGCTCCTTGGCAGGTTACAGGAAGTCGGGATCTTTCAATCGCAAGGAGCTTGTTGCAAGGCATGAGAAGAATGTTGGCAAGAGACAGCACGTATGGGCGAGGTTTGTTCGAAAGCTTTATGATGCGGCTCCATGCTTCTCAGGGAGGCTGAAGAAACGACCACCGCAACCTCTGGCGGGTAAGCCAAAAGGTTATACGTTTGTTTTTCTTCTTCTCTGGTTTCATGCTTTCACTCTAATGCAGGGCAGCTTTCAGGGAGCCGCTCGTCGAAGGAGTCAAGCTCTCGCTTCTTGTATAACGTGGCAGAAGTAGCCTCGCTTTCTTCAGATGGTCAAGTTAGTGATGATATGCAAGATGAGCAACGGGACGAGCGCGTACCTGATAGGAGTTTGAAGATCACGGCTTCCAACGAGATAACGCTGGACATTAGAAGGAAAGTGGAGAGGCATGATACAGCATCGTTGGACACCGAGAGCACAACGAGAACTCAGCTCATGCAACAGATAGCAGAGGCTACAAACTTGAGTCTCGAGGGAAGATTCTTGAACCTCCAGACCATAGTCATGCAGTTGAGGGACTCGGTGGAAGGGCTGAGGTCACGGGTCGAGGAAGAAGGCAAAAGGTGGAGAGGGAGGGCGGAGACTTTGGAAAGGAAGCTGAAGCTCATGAAGGATGAAACAGAGAATGATTTTTCCGCGCTTAAGCGTCAGGTGGAAGAGGATATGAAGAAAGCATGCGGGGTGTCTGGGGAAGATCAGGAACTGCGGAAGAAAGCGAACGTGAAACAAAAGTTTGAAGACATGATGCAAACATCTTCGGGAGAGGTTGAAGAGTTTAGGACACAGGTGAATCAGTTTGTTACACAGACGCAAAAGATGCTTACGCTGGGGCTGGAGGAGCGGTTTCTGGATTCCTTGAGTGAAGTAAGAACGGATCTCAAGAACGATATCAGCAATCTAGAAATCGGTTTCTCCAAAGACGTTGATAATCTTCGACAGGAAATGGCTTCTCGATACGAGTCGATGCTGATCGACGTCGAGATGGGAAGAATAGGTGGCCAGCAACAGATCAACACTCTAAAGAAACAAAGGTTTGAGAAGGGCGCACAAGCGGCACCGGCACCGAATGATGTGACTAAGCGGGTGGATACTCTGCGCGCTGATGTTACCTCATTGCACAAGAACTTCGAAAGGCTTTGCGATGACCAGAAGTTTGAAAAGCTGCAACTCCGGAAGCAGCTGCAGTGCTCCAGGCAAGAGGTTATGGAAGCGAGGGTCGACACCGAAGTGTGGATAAAAGAATGCGAGGTTCAAGTGAAAGAATTCAGGCACGACTTGATAGAGCTAAGAGGAGAACAAGAGGAGATGAAGGTGGACGTCGAAGTTCTAAAGAGGCAGCAGTCAGAAATGGAGTATCCCAGGCGGAGGTCTTTTGACGAGAAATATGAAGGTTCGGGTACGGGACTGCCAGTGGAATTTGCCAGCAATCTCCTGATGGTGGAAAAGGTTGAGAAGTTTTCGAAGCTTTACACCGGTTGCTTAGAGGACTTGCGGACAAGGCTGTGCAAGATAGAGTCAGCTCAAGATTGCATAGGCGATCTCCAGACCAGAGTATACAGGTTGGAAGCTGCTGAGCAGACGTTATCGACAACTCCAGGCGATACTATGGCTTTGATTGAACGGGAGAGATCTCTGGCAACTTCAGCTGCCACAGATGCTATTGCAGCAGCCTCGCGGACAAAAGAGATGCTGCAGGAAACGTTTGGGACGTTTCTCTCACAGATTGTCAGTGCTAAAGGGAAGGCCAGCGGGAGAGACGTGGTCGAGCTGTCCGGTGATGAACCAAAGCAAGAACGCCACCTGAAGACCACCGTGCAGCGTCTGAATCGTCAGATGAAGGAAGTCTTCGAGAGGTTGACAAGCGTTTCCTGCGGGAAGACACCAGGAGGTGGCAAGAAACTTTCAAAGGCTGGGACAAAGAAGGAACTCAAGTCCAGCAGCGAGGTTTTTATGCCAAGTGTGACAAGCATCGAGAACAAGATTAAAGCCGCGGCAGGGATCATGAGCCAGATGAACGACCGGATTCACAGGCTAGAGACCGTGCAGCAGGGCCTCAGCCGGTCCATCGACGACGCTCGCAAAGGAAACCAGGCGCTGAGGAAAGCTGCCAACTTCTGGCTGCCAAGGTACGAGGCAACCGCGAAACTGGTGATGGAAATCAGCGGCAGGCTGGCTTCGATCGAGCAACGAAAGCCCTTGACAGATATGATGGATCCAAGCTCGGAGCAGCAGAAAGCAGCCGGTATCACTACAAAGCCGGGCTTGGGCATGGAGACCACTGACAGATTGCTTGCGCTGGAGAGCCGGGTGGATCACATCGCTTCCGCAACGTACGCAAACCTGAGGTAACCACTGCTTGTCCGAAGATAGATTTTCACTAGCTAAAACACTCTTTTGTTCTTGTTCCTCCAGGCTGCTAGATGCCAAAGTCGAGCACGCCAGCATTGGCATGAGATCAGCACTGGACATCGCCACCGAGACGGAAGACAAGTGCAGCTCTCTGGGAGGAGAGCTCGTCAAAGTCTTCCGGCTCATCCTCACTGCACGAGAGAGCCCGACGACGAGAAAGCCCGACTCGCCACCGCTTTGTCCTCCCGAGCGGGGGCCTCAAGAACGAGCAAAGTCTCCAGCAAAGTCTCCCGGTGGTGCTAGATCTCCTCCCCCTCCAGCCGCAAGGTCTCCAGCTCCAGCGAAGTCGCCAGAATCAAGGAATCAAACGCAGACGCAGCAGCTCTACAACCCGTTACCAGCCAAGCCCGTGAAACGCATCAGCCTCAAGTTCGGAGACCAAGGCAACATCTTCACCAACGCTCCAAGATAGTTTCTATACATATACATGTATTGAACAGCTCCATCTCCAACTTCCATGGATCTTCTTTCTGATCAATGAAAATTCTCGGGAGGCTAAGAAAGAGAAGCGAAGAGAAGAAAGAAAAATACCAGGCCTTTCGAATGGATGGAATGAAAGAATGGTATACGAGGAAAACCACTGCAAAGAAGCAAAAACTTTCCTGTGTCAAAACGGAAGAACAAAAAGAGAGCGAAGAAGACAGTACCTATAGATTGAGAAGAACTCCTTCCGTCCCCCTCTGGAGAGAGCGAAATCTTCGCTCGCAGTTAATAGAGTCGCTTCTTACACCTTCGAGCCCCGCAGTAGCACCGCTTCTTCTTGATCTTCCCGTCGCTGTCCCTCACCGAGTCGATCTCGTAGCCATAGTCGTAGGACAGCTCCTCGAAAGGCCGGATGTTCTTCATGGCGAACATCATAACGTGCGGGTACGCCATGTCGTTGTGGTCGTTGAAGACGCACTGGACGAACATGTTGGGGTCGCAGCTATGGTTTATAAACCTGGAAACGTTCCCGCAGCTCCCAGCGTCGATGGACATATGACCATCCTCCACCACCTCGCAAATCTCCCCTCCATCCTTCTCCTCGAAGAAGCTGGATATGTCCACCCCGCGGGAGCGGCTCCCTTTGATGCAATCGATGTCGAAGATGTACTCGTCCTGCCCGACTCGCCGCTCGGCCTCCTCGTTGCTTAACAGCTCGCCAACGTACTCGCAGATGAAGCTCCCGAACGGGATGGCCTCCCAGGAGCGCACCCCCCACCCCCGGTTCTCCGTCTTGAAAACCTCGAGCTTCCTCGTCTGGCCTTGCTGGGAGAGTCGCAGCGGGCAGCTCGCCGCGCAGCGGCACATCGGTCCACACTCGTACAGGATCGTCTTCCACTCGTACAGCGCCCCGTCCGTGTATGGCATCTTGTTGCTGTTCTTCCCGATGCACAGGCAGCTGGCAGAGTCCCCGCACCGCCCCACGCAGCGGCACCCCGTCGGGTACGACGGCTGGAGGAAGCCCGGCGGAAAGATGGTCTTGGTGATGTAGGTGAAAGGTGGCGGCGGCCCCGGGGCCGCGTCGACGTCGTTCACGGCACAGATTGGAACCCGCTCTCGCCCTCCGGAGATGTCCTCGCACACCACCGCCTTGCGAGCCTCCATCTTCGCCTGGAGCTTCCCGGAGAACTTGACGATCCTGGAACCCAGCTCCAGCTGCCCTGGGTCGCGCTCGAGGCTGTACTTAAACACCCGGAACCCCGACATGCCGGGCTCGGCCCAGAAGTGGGTGACCCTGTAGAGACCGTCGTAGCTGTAGATCTTCCCCGAGGGGCTCTTGGAATCCAGGCAGCCGCGGGTGACTCGAACGGGGACGTCGTACTTGCAGCTGTTGGCAAGGCCCAAGTTCCCCTTGACGAGCTCCTGGTCGCGGTACTGCCGCTTGTCGCCGTGGTAGGCGTTCCCTCCCTGGCCCGTGTACGTGAATGTCTCGCCACCGTCGACGTCGTCCTCGTATCCGCCCGAGAGAACCAAGCTGCAAGCGATGAGCTCGCCAAACTTGTTCTCGTTGGGCCGGATGGTGTCGATGCCGGCCTGGGTCTGGCGGTGGAGGCCGACGATGCACATCGCGATCCGGAAGAAGAAGATGTCGCCAACTTCCACCCCGGGAACCGGGCCGATACGTTTCGCTCGGTTCACCCACATGTTCTTCTCCTTCAGGGCAGCGGCCGCCTTTTGCGAGCAGTCGCCCGTCACCTTGTCGCGCACGTAGCATATCCGGAGCTTCTCGTACGCCGAAAGTGCGTTGGTCACCTTGATACGGTCATCGCTGCTGCCGCTGGCGTTGTCCGGGGCGGCGGCGGCGGCGGTGGTGTCCGGGAAGAGCCCGTCGGCGTCGTCGTCCTCGGAGTCCGAGAGCTCCGCCACGCAAACGTTTGGATCCGCCTCCTTGAGTGGCTGGACCTTGATGGCTTCCTCGCCGGAGTGAGGAGGAAGAGGGAGCGCGGTCATGGTGGAAGAAGAGGGACTCATCGCCTTCCGGCTCACAATCACCCAATCGGTCGGCTCCACCAACGCCGTGATCGTCCCTGACGCTGGCGCCTCCCAGCACTCGTCCGGATCCACGATCGTGTCGTCCTCCTCCTCCTCCTCCTCCACGGGCGAGATCTTTGGCCTCTTACTGTCCTCGATCTCTCCCTCCTCTTCCTGTTCCTCCTGTTCCTCCTCCTCCTCGTCTTCGGAATCCAAGACCATAACGGGCATGACCCTCTTTCTATCCTGCGGTGTTACACCGCATTGGCTACCTCGATCTTCGTCGTCGACCATGGAGGAGGACCACTGCTGCTGCTGCTGCTGCTGCTGCTGGCGGATCTTGCGTGAATTCGCTGGCCACCGCCGCACCGCCACCGGCCGCTCCATCGATCTGAGAGATCACTCCCCGCCCCTCCCGCCCGCCCAGAAGATGAAACAGAGTAGCCCTAACCCTACATTTTAGGTCTCCTGATTCGGGAATATACGCCAGTGCAATTGATGTCAGCCCTAAAAGGTTGAAAAGCACCCCCTTTGCTATTTACGTTTACTGTTCAGAGAGAAAGTATCGTGTGAAAGAGAGGACTTCTCATGAAGAGCTTGAGGTCCTGTTGGTTCACACCAGGTCCTGTAACAGCAGCAACCAAAGATCTTGCTCGCAATTTGTGAGACCTATCCTTCACTCCCTTGCTGTGTCATTGATCGAGGATTTCTTCCTCATTTGTGGCCCTCTGGAGCAGAAGATCAGGTTCCAGCAGCAATGCAAATGCGATCCGGGAGCAGCGTGCATGCAGGCTGTAAGAAATGGTGGTGGATGTTGTGCTCGGCCGGCCTTGTTCAACCCGTATGAGCGGATTGCACTGTTGAAGCGAAAGCACACTGATCATGAATGATCCGAGGATGGAAAATATGGTAAAACACATAAAATAATCCTGTGATTGCTCGCAAACAAATCGAAGAATGTTCTTGCAATAGTTGGTCAATGTCTACAACTCAGGATCCCGACTAATTTAGCAAGATCACATCTTGGTTTGGAGAACATAGAGAGAGATCCTTGAAAAGCAAACTGTCTAGTGTCAATCAACAAACCGTCCTAAGGGAAGGGCGATACATAACGTCCCAGTCCCCTGTGCTCAAGTCAAAAACAAATAAGGTCGACGTCTCTGCAGTCGAAAAGACAAAAAGGTTTCCCTCAGCACATACAACAATGGGACAACAGGGGCATACACTCATTCACGTGAGATGGTTTTTGGATTTTTGTGTTATGTTCAAATTATTCATGTGGCCAATTTTGGTATGGTTTCTTATAGCCCAGATAGTGAATGTTTTTTTATATAACTTATTTTTCACTGATCAAGTGGTTATCTATATAGTTTTATAGAGATCATATGCTATATGATTATTCATATAGATTATAGTGTGATCAATTATTTCTATTACCACTAACAATCCAATCTGCATGGAGGCTGAATTATTTTGTGCCCAATTCCCATGATTTTCTATTTGTAAAAGTTATATGGTGAAATATTTCTTTTTTTTTGGTAAAGTTATTATAAGCCCATAACAGCCAATATCAAGTTGCAAAGTCTTCAACTCATGCTATTTGTTTGCCTATACAAATAAATAAAGGATTTAACATCACTCCCCAAGAATTATGAGATGGATTTTCCAACTATTTAAGTTCTTAGCATATTGTAAACACTCTCCAACCATTTAATCCATATAATCTGCACCAATACAACCTTTGTAACATGGGCAAGTGTATTCAAAATTTCCACCAGGCCCTTAATTGTTTTATTTTTGTTATAAAGCACATTTAAAAATTAATATAAACCACATTATTTTGTTATTGTTGGAAAGCACTTCCAAAAATTGGTGTAAAACAACATGTAAAATCATATAGAAACACCACCAAAAGGTATTATAGTGAGGGAGAATATAAATTTCTCTCAACAAAATTTCAATAAAAAGAATGCATATATGATTAAAACATATAAAACTAAGAGTTAAAATGTGTTATATAGTGTGTTTATTTACCTTTGGCTTACCTCTAGAAATGTGATATTTAAGAAAAAAAAATTAAAGTAAACACAACTCTTAAACATTATAATTAATATATTTGTAATTCTTTGCAAAATTAGCTTCAATGCTTCAAGTAAGAAGATCTAATGCATAAGACATATTTCCTAAGAACTGAAAAAAAAAATAATGAAAATTTGTAGAGTTGGATTATTTAGATATTATTTATGTTTACCTTTAAGAAAGAGTCAGTTACACAATAAACTTATATGTAGTGATGCTTATATCTATTGTGTTCTATGAGTTCCCTTTTTATAAAATTTTACATTCTAATCATTAAATGACCAATAGTGATGTTAATTTTCTTTTTCAAGTTGGAGATTTGGTTATTTTACATAGAAACATCTCCTTATGTCGTTTTGGTGCAATAAAGTAAGATTCTAAAATCTTTTTAGTCTCTTCGGTGGTAGCTTATATTAGGTATTATTTTAGGTGCAAACTAATTTTTGATATGGTTTTATTTACTTGCCTTTATATTTGATCTTTAACAAATGTATGCTTGCAAAGAATGATCTAATATTTTGACTACAAAGCCTTTTAATATTATATACCCAAAAAATCTCACACTCTCAAAGTTGTCATCAATAAGATCACTTTATCATTATGCTCTAATATAGACATACGTGAGTTCCCAGTCAACATTCCATATGATTCCGTTGTTATTTCTATGGTCTCAAATGTCTATCCCTGGCTATAATCATGAATGCTGGTTGTAATATTTGATACGACCCTCAACCGTTCTATCAAACTATCACACATGAAGCATATTACTGAGAGAAAAATTGCTACTCATTCACAGTCCAATGTCCTAGCTTGGAAAAACATCTTCTAATGGTGGTGAGTTGATAAGAAAGACGGCTTTGTTACGCACACATCATACCCTGGGGCACCCACATACACCTAGGCACTTCCAAAGTACTGCCATTGTGCACACTGGCAAAACGCACTACAGGACTTAGGCCGGTTGCAATCCACAGGCTGCAGATCACTTCCCCGGTGCTCCATCTCACACAGCCAAAGTCGTAAAATCCCAGGATGGTGAGGTCGTAGAAGTAGTCCATCTCTGGGAATCCAACAACCTACATTCCGCTGCACCTGCGCTCTCATCTTGACATAGGCTGGGGAGAACTGGACCTTGACCACGCCCATGTTGCGGAGTCGTAGATGAAGCAGCATGGGCGTGGTCTTCTCTCCCCAAGCTCCAGTTCTCGCCAGCCTATGTCAGGATGACAGAGCAGTCCGACTTTGAAGCTGACAAACAAGATTAAGCTCATATCACTGTCTTCTACCTTCCAGTAAAGCGGTGGTAGTTTCGTCCACTCTTGGGTGAAAGGATTGCACACCACCAGGCGAAACACACCATCAGAGCTGGCCCGAGGCAAACGAGGCCCCCTGCAAAAGCAATGACTTCATCGACAGTCCCTGGAGCAATGGAACCCGTGACCGAACCCAGGGGAGGAGGCAATGCTCTGCAAGTAGGTCCTTGATCCGGGGCAATCCATCGTTTCGCCGCCGCTGGTGCCAAAATAGGTGCTACGTCTTTTCTCCACAAACACATATTGTGGCCAGGTCCACAAAGCTCAAAACTACCTCTAAGAGATCTTCTTGGTCACCGAGACGCACCGCCAGAGGCCCCTGCATCGTGAAAAACGATTCGCGAGAAGGGAGAACCCTTGCGAACGAAAACGACGCGACACTGATTTCCAAGTTGTCTACGTGTCAATTCCATTCATTCATTTCATGTTGCTTCGGGCGTGGGAGTTCCCATAGATCTCCAAGCATCAAACTACAAGCTCAATCACTATCTCTTCAATAGCGCTTTGCAAATGTATCCCTCCCCCGATTCGAGCAGCACCTCATTTCTCCTTCTCCGTCCAACACCAAGAAAGGAGTTCTTCCATGATATCTCTTTCCACTGACATCCAAGCCGCCACTACCACTACTGCCACCACTCGATCTACTACTACTCACTTCGATTTCACTCGATTTCCTTTTCCAGTGCTGCTCAAAAGTTTGGCTCCGTTCTCTCACGAAAAGAGCAACGAAAAAACTTATTTTCCCTCCAGCAGCACTGGGAGCTATGAGAACCACCACGATCGTTTTTCTTCCTCCACGTCGTCTCTCTGGCTTCAAGTCGCGGCTCAAATGCAACAAGATCATCATGGCTCTCCCCGGACGAGATTGCTTCATCTTCGAGAAAGTTATTAAAGATCCCCAATCGAGCTGTGGACTTCCACCAACAAGTCATCCTCGTTACCACCACTGCCACACCGTCAGAGGTCCCTCGTCTTCGGAATCCACGATCATCACGGGCGTCTCTTTCTGTGCCTGCTTCTACACCACATTGGCTACCTCGATCTTTCTCGAGAGAGGAAGACGACTGCTGCTGCTGCTTCTGGATCTTGCTCAAATTCGCTGCAACCGAGAGAGAAGAAGCTTGTGCCTCCCGTGATAATAAGTTCGCACTTGGCACCACTTCAAAAACAGACATGCTTTGGTGGTCTCCACGAAATTGATGTTTGCAAAAGATATCGGGCCTCCTTGGGCGCCCTGGGTACCAAGCGCTATCCGGTAGGTCACGGTGGGGTTGACCATACCGACTTAGCACTACTGGGTCACCGACGAGGGGGGCCAAGTGGTCAAGGGTCAGCGACCCCATTTACTAAGCAACCCGAGGGATGCAAGCGCCCTCTCAGGCTCTCCCGGATTAACCCTTCTTGCAACTCCATTCCCTTTATACTGGTGTTTCTTTACTGCGCCTTGGCTAATGGGATAGGTTTTCAGCTTACATGGCACAACACCCGCATCTCCGGGATGACTAGGATTGTTGGTTGTCAGCCTGGCATTATCCAAGTAAATTATAAGAAGCACCATTGGATGACTCCATTTTCCAGCCGACATTTCCACAACCTTTGCCTTTCGATGGATTTTCGACCCAGAAGAATCATCCACAAGCCCGGCTGTGGAACATATGGCATGGAATGCTCCAGCTGACCAGCTCGCCCCATTGCGTCAACCAAGCAGTAGTAATGCTTGATCCCGGGAGGGAGCGATCATGGACAAAAAATCTCGGCAACACAGCTCGAGCTGGCTCGCTGCCGCTGCTAGAATTGTAGGGACATCTACGAGACAATGCCGGATCGCAGCTCAGTGGCTCTCATCACTGTGATCTTGGTGCTCGCACAGCATGGCTACGTCCAATCCCCGAGAACAGCCTTTGAGCGATTTGAAAAGAAGCAGGATCATCGCGGTCTATGTCCACAACGGACGCGTGAGCGAGGCACTGGATCTCTTTCGAGAGATGATCTTGCTGGCTTTCAAGGCAGACGAGACCATCTTCACGCACTCGCAAGCTGGCCTTCCTGTGCATCAGCTTGCATCATCACAGTGGATGTCACAGCGTTTATCTCTGGCACTTCGACGAAGATTTTCACTGCTTCCTTCGATAATCTGCGGCTGACCAGCGAGGACAAGAGAGTGTTGTAAGACAACAGGTTGTGGTCGGGCATGTGCTCAAAGAAGTCTTTGCAGTGGTGGACGTCGGGTGCTTAACAAGCGAGCATGGTGTTCCAGGAGACCATGTCCAGGCACGCCAAAGCATCAAACACTGCTCGAGCATTGTGGCTCTTGGAGTGATCGGCGTATGTTGGTCCAGGCTGCCAAGCAACTGGGATCGTCGAGTGTGGTTTCTTGCATGATCTGGAACGAACTCTCGCCATCTTGTACATGCCCAAACCGTGCAGATGCCCGAAGCATCACGCTCGAGGTGATTGAGCTTCGCTCTGGCATAATCGCAAACAGTTGCTTCGCATGCGCGTAAGTTCTTAACATAGTTGTCCAGGAAATCATGCTTCTTCCAAAACACAATATTGCAAGCAGGCATTGCGTCAAAGGGATATTTCGCCACGGAGAAATCCCCAGCCTGGGCAAATGCCGAGATTATAGTGTTCTAGGCAGCTAGCGTTCTTGCGCCGACGCTCTGGAACACAGCCATAGCCTTGCCGTGTTGCCACTGAGAACATAGCGAGAACTCATAGCCGCCCACGTGTACTCGTCGTGAGCGGGCATCATTTGAAAAAGCTCCATGGCGTTACTGTAATGCCCCTTCTGGGCATATGCAACAATCATGGAGTTCCACGACACCACGTTCCTCACGTACTATTCTCGAACATACATTGCGCGAGATCCACAAGGCCGTTCTCGGCATAGGCATTCATCACAGCCGTCCACGCGACCACGGGCATCCTGTCAAAGACCCGGCAAGCGTCGTCCAGATGCCCCATCTGGGTGGAGGAGGATTATTCCGGAGAAGGAAATGGGATCTTTGATGCCATTGGCAATCCTGCGAGGGGAATCTTCTACTTGCTGCTCGTTTGCGCGAGGAGGAAGAGAGTCATCCATGCAAACTTGCCAATTCCCCCGGCCACGCGACTGTTGGTCTGGGAAAAGAATCGCGGTCGTGTCGCTGGAGCAGCAGCTGGAATTCGCAAGGAAGGGGCATGTTTGCGTCCGGGGATTGTTCTCCAGCGCTGGATCCACGCCCAAATGTGCGAGGAGGAAGAAATGCTCGCGGCTTACAAACACCGCGTCTTGGTGCTGTACAGGCCCGGGCATCGATTTGCGTCGCGTCACAGCGTTGATCCAATCCAAGGTATATAAGTTCTGTTGATAGACATCTTTTCTCTCTTGTTGTTCCAGGGGAATGACGAGCTTGGTTTCCTGCAAATGTTCCATCTCCACCGAAGAGCTTCTTCTCTTCTTCCACCCTCGAGTCTGCCTGCCAGGCCGCAGCGGAGCTCCTGGGATCAAACAGAGTCGACCGACAAGCTTTTCGTTTTCCTTCTTCTAAGGACAAACGTAACATGTGTCGTTTTTAGTGATTTTTAAAGGTAAGAGTCACATGATATATTTTGAGCTTGGTATCATGGTAGTAAATGTAAGAACTTCGTCCCTGGATTTATAGGTTTTCGCTTGTACCAGGAGTCTCTTCATCAAGCTCCCAGGATTCAGTGTCACGAAGTGGTACTCTGATCTCAACATAGTCCCGCTCGACACTCACGTTTTGGATTCCACTCCATTCACTGTCAAAAAAGGCTTCAAATTTTCGCCCGTCACAGCCTAGATTTCCAGCTTCTCTCAGACGACGACTTCCTATGCTGCGGAAACCACCAGCTAGAGACAAACTATGACTCCAAAATATTGATTACTTAATAATTATCCTGAATAAATATTTTTAAACTTTCAAAAGCAGAGTTTCTTCCAAATGTTTCTGCCTACCACAAGCTTGGGCTTAGACATCTAATGCAACGCAAGTCAAACATAGACTTGCAATGAACAGTTACAGCAGCAGTTGCAAGCATGCTAGGTATATGGCAAAACACAAGGAAAAACAAGTGACAAAAAAGTGAAGAAAAAAATAACGTAATACATTATTCTTATAGACCAAGGGTCCAACACTAGAAAATTTTGTAATAGCATCCTGCAGCTGCTTAGAAGTTTCTGAAGTTTCTTTTCAGATTATCCCTTCGATTTAAGTACTTCTCAAAACCTGAAAAGGTAGTAGCATCAAATCTCAACACATCAACTACGGCATCAAGCTCTGTTAAAACCATAACATGGATGGGCAATATGCTCCAGATTCAACAAACCACGATTGATCTCATGCTTTAATGCTCAAGGAAGAAAAATAAATTATCAAAAGAAAGTGTGTTATGAGGGAACAGATGCTGATTGGAGTTCATTCAACTCCAGTGAAACATCAAAGTGTAACATCCCTTTAGTCAAAAGTTTCAATTCGTTTTTCATACATCTTATTCACATTCTATTCAGATGTTGATCAGATTACCAGTTCTCTTTGATACAGTCGAACGTGCACACAGCCAATGGAGAAGACAAGATGATCAAATAGCAAAGGATGGAACAGTATCATTAGAGAAAACTCCCAAGGAATTCATGTCATTCGAAATATTCCTATAGATCGCCTTGATTTTGTTCTCTCCTGGGAAGGAGGAATACAACTGTACGTGTTCAAATCTTTGGCTTGATGTACTGTATAGATACCAAGGAAATCATACAATTCTACTACAAGATTCAGAAATCCCCGGCTTGTATTAACCAGTATTTGATTCTCTTCTGGAAGTTGAAAGCTATCACTTTCACAGCCCAAATTCAACGAGCTTATATTCCAAAACCATGCTATAAAACAAAAAACTGCGTCACTCTTCGTGATGGTATATGAGGTAATCCGCGTGATGAGAGAAAAAAATCTGCAAGTTTAGCTCGTTAGATTCGAGAACAACAAAATGATTTTGCTGAGTAGGAAAGCATGTTTCTGTTACAATTTTCCGTGGCGGCCGGGATTGGACGGCGGGTCAAGGGAGCCGATCAAATCTTCCTTGTTTGCTTGCGTGGTGATCTTGGTAGAGGTAGCAGTCTCCTGAGATTTGGTCCCTGGATGATTCACTCGGGTCCCTCCCTTTGCTTTAGAACTTTTCACAGGGGATCAAAGATTTATGCCCCCCACCTCGTGTCGACGACTTTCGGCCTTGCGTTTGTCATCTACTGAGTAGCAGCATCTCGCAAGCGATTGCTTAGTCTTCGTTAGTCAGTCTGTTCACCTGACGAATGCGAATTAGTAACTGCACAAGACGTACCTTGACACCGACAGTTTACTGTGCGGCTACGAGGTCAACACCTTGGAACTTCATACCTCTCAGAGCTCTCCTGGTATAAATACTTGACACTTCCTTCCACTCGAGGTCAGTATCTTAAACTTCCTTGGTTGTCTCCGCCCCTCTTCTCGGAAAAGTTGGCTGCTCCTGTCCTGAAGCAAGCTCGTCCCTTGTTTGGTCACAATAGCGTCGTCTCTGTATACCAGACTTATGGAGGGCGGAAGCGCTGCTACACAGCAGGAGAGGACCTCCAGCGTCGACTGGAGAAACCAACAGCAGAACAAGTGCTTCCCCATCGAGTGCTTGCCCGAAGATGGAGCCTTCAATGCACCTCTCACTGGACTTCCTCCTGTTCCCTCCCTCATTAAGAAGGTGATTTCTTGTTGGCATCCTTGCCCTGGCTCAGTTCTTTCTTTTCCAGCTGCTGTCCGAGTTCCTGGGAACTTTTATCCTGATCTTCGCAGCGGCCGGAACTGCGATCATGAACGAGAAATCCCACGGAGCTCTTGGAGTCCACGGCCTGGCTGGAGGAGCGGGTATCACGGTCATGGTCGTCATCTTTGCAACCGGGCACATCTCCGGAGCTCACATCAATCCTGCTGTAACTGTCGCATTTGCTACCTATCGCCATTTTCCATGGTTCCAGGTTTGACTTGTTGTAAAGTTGATGGAGCTTTGATTAAGTTTTCCCGTGCCCCGCAGGTCCCGCTTTATATAATCACTCAAGTGGTGGCCACCATCTGTGCTGCCTTCGTTCTCAAAGGCGTCTATCACCCGGATCTCAGTGGCGGCTGCACGGTTCCAGTCGGTCCGATATGGCAGAACTTTCTGTTTGAGACTATCCTGACTGCCATGATGATGTTCGTGGTCACAGCAGTTGCTACCGATTCCAGAGCTGTACGTTTTAACGTTGGTTTTGCTTTTCTTCTCGTCTCTTACGTTGATCTTGATCACAGGTTGGAGAGTTGGCTGGTATTGCTGTCGGAGCAACAGTTTATCTGAACAATCTCATTGCAGCGTGAGTCGTTTTCAGTAGCTCGCTAGCTTTTAGTTACCTGAAATTTTGGCCAGGCTGATTTCCGGAGCGTCCATGAACCCGGTTCGTAGCTTGGGTCCCGCCATCGCTGCGAACAACTTTCATGGCTTTTGGATTTATATTGTTGGTCCTTTCCTCGGCGCTCAGATTGGTGCTGCCGCCTACACTCTGATCCGTTTCAAGGACCTGGAACCACAGCAGCTCCAGCAGCGCCGAAGCTTCAAGAAGTGAGAACAGAAGCAGCTTCAAATGTACAAAGCTATTTGTGTGCTGTTTGTGCTCAATAACTTCGGATGAAATAAGCGAGGAAAACAAGAAAGCAAACAAGAAAGCAATCACGAATCATGTGGATTGATGTGTGTGGTATGTACGTACTACAGAAGACATTTTTAAGTGTGCATAATTCAAATCCTAAAGAAAAGAAAAAACCGAGGGAGAGTCAAAAGCGTTATACAGTTGTTGACACGATTTAATATAAGTCTGCAAACAGCAATGTGGAGGCTTCCAACGGAATTGGTAAAGGACCAAAAAAGCATGGGATGGATAATCAAAGAGAAGGCACCAAGCATGACGCAGAGACAAACAAAACGTCTTTTTGAGGCTAGCCGGGGAAAAACAAAGCTAGCAACCCATGCGTTTTGTACTTGCCTGTAGCCCGATGGTGTAGGAAGAATTGTCCCGAGTGGTGTCCATAGGTGCATGACTTTGGATCAACACGATCAACAGTCCTGACATTCCCCCTGTTCTATAAACATCAGTTTAACATCCGCTTAACTTCTACCTTACCGCAGCTAACTTGCACGAAAGACCACACTGCTCCATGGCTCCATAGTTCCTTTTGGTTGTCCTAAGATGGAAGTGTTCCAAGATTCGTCATCCGAGTGACCTCCAAATGCGTTTCGAAATAGCAAGCTAGCGTGGACGGACGGCCGAATGGTACGGCTGTCGCATTGCAGGGAAGGCAAGATGCTTGCTCCTCGTCTCTCATTTCCGGAAAGAAGGCTTGCTTCCACTGTCTTCTCCGTAGGGACAGTAGGGGGCTACGTCTCCCACATTCGAATCTGTACAAAAGAGATATAGACGGACTAAGGAAGAAAAATAAGAATGAGTACCGTGTATCATGGTTGCGTTGTTAGAATCACCATATCAAACGATCCGATCTCGCAAAGAGATTTTGATCTCAGGCCCTGTACACGAATTAAAAAAAGTTAAAATGCACAGACGAGAGCAGCTTTCTTACTACAGTTTAGCGTAGGGACCTCCAAAGATTAAGAAAAGCACGCTCGTAGCTATATAAACCGTGCCATGTTGCCAAAGTAGTGTGTGCTTGAGTGCCTTAGCACTTAGTTTCTCGAAGCTATAGCCATTTCCTCCTTTCTTTGCTGGACCTTCCTGTAATCCATCAACATCCGCCAGTGAGCAGCATGGCCGAGCAGCAGCGAGAAGCCGAGCACGTTGCTGCAAATCCTTTACCTTTCCATGCTGCTGCTGCTGCAATCGCCGAGAGAACTTCGAGCGTAGATAAACGTGTTCAGGGCCGGACGTCGAGTGTTGACCACAGGAATGCCGCTCACAAGTGCTTCCCGCTGGAGCTCGTCGAGGAAGGGCGCTTTGACGACGAGCCAACAGGATACTCCACCGGTTACTCGCTGCTCAAGAAGGTTGATTGCCAGCACAATTCCGTCCCTCTAACTTTGCTTGGTTTTCTCGAAACTGACATCCATCCAAAGTGCAGATCGCTTCTGAGTTCCTCGGCACCTTCATTCTCATCTTTGCAGCCGCAGGCACAGCCATCATGAACGAGAAATCTCACGGCGCGCTGGGAATCCAGGGACTCGCAGGCGGAGCCGGCATCACGGTGATGATTGTCATCTTTGCAACCGGCCACATCTCAGGAGCTCACATCAACCCGGCAGTCACTCTTGCTTTTGCCACTTTCCGCCACTTCCCGTGGATTCAGGTTCTTCCACCGACCACTCAATTTCTTCAAGCTTGCTCCGGGTCCGACTTAACTTGCGTCTTCAGGTGCCTTTGTATATCGCAGCTCAAGTGACAGCCTCCATCTCGGCATCCTTTCTTCTCAAGGGGATCTACCATCCCGATTTGGCCGGCGGTGTCACTGTTCCTGCTGGTACTCATTGGCAGTCATTCCTCTTCGAGATCATTCTCACTGCCATCATGATGTTCGTCGTCACCTCAGTGGCCACTGACACCCGTGCTGTACGTCTTTCTTTATCTTCGCTTGTCAAGCTTCATCTTCCGCTGGATTCTCTTCACAGGTCGGGGAGTTGGCCGGAATCGCTGTTGGCGCAACGGTTTTCCTCAACAATCTTATCGCCGGGTAAGCGAATCGTCGCGCTCGGATAATCTTTCACTGTGCTCAAACAGTTGCCTTGTACTGACAGCCTGATCTCTGGAGCTTCGATGAACCCGTGCCGCTCGTTAGGCCCCGCGATTGCTGCTAACAACTTCAAAGGCTTCTGGATCTACGTAATTGGTCCGCTTATCGGCACCCAGCTCGGGGCAGCAGCATACACTGCCATCCGATTCAAGGAGCTGGAACGTCCCAAAAGCTTCAGAAGATGAACAGGAATGCCACTACTGTACGTGAAGGTTAGTGAGGATGAATGTAAGTCCTGTACCTGTAAATCCATATGTAAAATGCTGGTCCCAGTTGACCTCAATAGTTTGGTTTCTGATCACTGCTTACAGCTACGAGTGTGTCATTCTCAACATTAATAAAACAAGGAAACTGTGCTTGAAAATGACGAATGATTCATTTTTTACTATGTATGATACAGCTCATTTCATAAAACATACCGTATATCTGGAGGGCAACTAGCCGGCCTTCTTGCCAAACCAGCTCTTTGATCTCACTCTCTTACCCTCCAGTGCCTGCAAAACAGCTGATCAAGTTAAAGGCAAATGGAGACAATGAACATACCATTTGCTTGAAACGCCTTAAAGTAAGTACCGCACGATCGCGAAGCCTGCAGGTCGGCGATGGAACTTTACATCAACAAGTCGCCCATCTAAGTAGTCTTACCGATTATCTTTGAAAGCCAGCATGTGCTCTTTCCCATCGCTGCTTATTATTGCGCACTGAATAAACTGTCCCAAAATGACCCGCACCTGCACGATATAACAGTCACAAAACCAGTCGACAATTTCGGAAACACCTGCTTACATTAACGTCTGAAGTGTAACTTTCCTTAACCAACCGTACGCCGTTTCGTATTATTTGATAGCTCAAACGTTTGATTATCAAAGTTCCAGGTTCCCAGTCTTCAGTTCCGTCCTTCTGAAACATTAGGTACCACTCGGAGATCAAAGATGGACACGGACTTATGCAGGAAAACTGCTCATAGTGCATCTAGCTATGTTCATGGTGCATTCAGAAAAGAAATGTGGACAGACCATAACCGTCACATCGAACTGAGCCTGAGCAGCCGCAATATGAACATTGATTTGATCGTCCATGGTTGCATCTGCATACCAGCGGCATTCACAACCACAACAATTACTTCACTGTAAAGCCTTACCGCATTTGATTATGTTTTGATTGTTTGCAAACTCAATCACTTCCTCTCCCTGCAAAGAGAACTTATAAAAACCACGATGATAATGCAAGGTTTACCTTCCGTCCTCGATCATCCATAGGACAACATTGTATTGCGATAAAGGTTTCACAATCATCAGCACTTAGAGTGTATTCGGTTTGAGACGCGCCTAGAAAAACAATGATAATAGCATGGAAGCTGAGGTGTATACAAAAAGAACGTACCATCAATATCCTCGGCACCATCTTGGTAATACCGTATCCACTGCAAAAAAACTTAGTAAATCCGTACTACAGCTTAATTCAAACCTGAAAATTGCAAAGAGCAGTTCCGTTGATGGAATGGCCACAAACAGTCAGTTTGCTTCCCAGCACTGCATCTCCCACAATTCGCAGGCCAGCAACAGCAGGCAAAGGATCTTCTTCTGCAGGTGAAACATCGTCAGCAATAGTATTTCGCGTTTAAGTTTGACAAAACACCTGCGTGGTTAGGCTCCTCGGGTAATGATGGCAAATGTGGAGAACGCTTATGATCGTAATTGGTCCTGATGTCTGGATCATCACCCTCAATAGAATGGAAATTTTCGTGTAAATCTGTATTGTGCTTAGGAACCATTCTGTTTTCCGGAACTTAGCAAAGTTATCAAATGCGAAATAAGCACACTTACTCTTGCATATGCATATACTCGGGAGTACCAACAGATCGCGTCGTGTTGACGTTCAAAGAGGAAGGCGATGTAGGCCTTTGAATTTGAGGATAAATACTTTGAGGCACAAGTTCTAGTCCCCGCCCATTCTGCAGCTACTGCAGGAGGTAATTCACAAAACTAAAAATCGGGCCTTACAGGCGAGGGAGGAGCAAATCGAGGGGGTGATTGTACATTGGACGGAGACGGTGGCGTATACAACCATGGCCTGTAGAAACCTGGCTCTTTGATTCTTCTCTGCAAAACTAGCCTAGTAAGGAGGTTTCAGGTTCAATGACTTCAACCAACCTCATCATTTACTCTGGACTTCAAATGTTGCACCAATGCCTGTACATCACACATATACAGGTTTACCATCTATGTCCAAGAATTCCTTACTTTCACAGAGACGACGATTGATTGCGCATCTGTAGCTGGACGCAAATCAAACTCCTCCAGAAGTGGCAAGAGCGACGTCACAAGAAAGTTTCTTTCTTGTCCTAGAGCCTGCTCAATATCAGTTCAATAAACATTAATAAAAGAAGAAATAACGTTTTTTACTTGATTATCATAAGCAAGCTTCATATTTTTCTCAGCAAGCTCTTCACGAATCGTCAAGGCTTTTGACGTTGCATCAGCGACAGATTGCTGCTCCCGATAGTAGAACTGTAAAAACAAATAAAATAAAGTAGAGTATCACCGACGGAAAGCACTAACCACTTGTAGTTCTGCCATTTTTCTTTCCAAACTAGTGTTCTCAGCAAGAAGTTGTGTTTCCTGTGCACGGGAAGAGTTAACCAGACAGCGGATAATAGCAAGAGGGAGTACCCTTATAGTGGCCTCATAGAGTTTGCTCCGAAGATGACGGACTTCCTCCTCGTGCGTCCTCGTCGAAGCCAGTGTCATGTCCTGCCAATTAAATGGGATATAATACACGAATAAATTCGACAGCTACCGGTCTGAATGGAGGCACAGCATCCGACTTAACGTCCGCCCCATTTTCTGTGTTCGTGTTCCCATTTGCAGGAACGCGTTCTTGCGAGATTGTTTCCTCCTCTGGCTTTCGCGAGACAGCATTTTTCTTCTGCAAATGGAAGATGATTTACCTGGTTTGGAGGACAAGGTAAAGGAGGGTAACTTACCAGAGTTGCAATTTCATGCTGGGCGCTCTGTAGAGCAGTACGCAGGTGATTCGCCTCGGCAGCCTTAACAATTCAGTCAGATGTGTGAGAGAGTGAAAAATGTTAAAATTCTACCTTCTCCGTAAGTGCAATTTCGGCCTTTTCGAGAAGATCATAGACTTCTACGGGATCCCTGAATCCATTCTCAAGCTCTGTCCCACCATTAGCATGCGCCTGATTCCCATGGAAGCGTCCAGCACTGTCGGTGTATCTAATAGCGGCTTGCATTCTTCCGATAAAATCCCTGCGAGAATTCTAGGCCCCTACATGCCGCACCAAAGCTCCAGCCCTAGGAGACAGAGCTTCAGATCCACCTGATTTCGATCCAAATCGCGAGAGCGCCCCCGATCGTGAGCTGCTGCTGCTGGGAGAAATCGCCTCCGGCACGAAATCGCGATCGCGGGCCACCCCGCATTGCTCCAAGGCGCTTTGGCCAGACCTCCAAAAATGCAATACGAAATAAAAACCCTATCATAAGAACACAGTGACGACCTTGACGTCCGCGCCGCCCTTCAACACGGCATTTTCCACGTCGTTCAGTCCACGTCATTAGTTACATTAAAAGCGATGGCTTTCGTTTAATCCAACGGCAGTAAGAAATGCGCTCGAATATTCCACCACAAATATACGAATATTCTACCACGAAGCTTTACACAAGGAGGAGCGAGAAAGCGGGCGAAGGAAAAAATATACCTAGCTTGTTCTGGGCGGGAAATGGCGATGGCGGGGGTATAAAATGGGGCGCCATGGATGGAGATCTCACAGCGAGAGCGATGGATCAAGGAGTGCAATCGCGCTTGCAGGTAGAGATTATCAGCAATTCGGCCGGGTCGAGCAGCGTCGGCGTGGATCTCCAGGTCAGGAACGCGCAGCGATTCCCCGTTCACGTCATGGACATCGAGGTGCTGATCGAGGAGCCCGGCCGCGAGGAGCGTGAGCGCAAGGCCGCGAGCGCCAAGCTCGATCACTCGTGCATCGTCCAGCCGCGCTCCTCCAAGCTCGTCAAGATCCCGCTCGCGAGCTTAATCCGGCCCAGCGCCACGCCGGTGCCGTACATGCTCCGGGCCAATGTGGCCATGAAGGACCGAGTGCACGGCGCGTACCAGGTAAGTACGGAACGCGTACGGCAGATGTTCTTCAAGGACGCCGCTGACAAGAAGGTCAAGGCCGTGGAGAGAAAGCACTTGGATGGAGGCATCGAAGGGATTCACGTATGGACCAACTTTCCAAAGGAGGTGGTGGTGGCTTTCGACTTCCAAGTGAAAAACTCCAACTTTCTGCCGCTCAAGCTCCTCCACGCCGATTTCTCCGTCATGAGTGATGGCACGAAGATCCTGGAGACGAAAGTGGTCCACAACACGAGCATCCCAGGGAAGTCGTCGGCTAGAATCAAGATGAAGCTTTCGATCCCGCTCAAGATCATACGTGACAGCTTCCCCGGTGGGCTCCCTTCGTCCGTTCTTCCAGTCCAGATGGACATCTCCTTCTGGTTCAAGGAGACTTTCTACGGCCTCTACAAGATCGATGCTCGCAAGACGGGCGTGCTGGTCGTGCCCGAGGCGCCGGCGATCGCGATCCACAAGGTGGTGTTCACTTTCGACGAGGATAACAAGCCGGTTGCGAGACTGGAGCTGCTGGTTTCCAACGCGAATGTCTTTGATCTGGAGCTCAAGAGCCTGGAGTACCAAGCCGTGTCGAAGGAGACAGGATCGACGCTCATGCTCGCGAAGTTTAAAGACGATGACGCCGTCATTGTCCCCGAAGGAGGAAAGGTTACCATCTGGGCTCTTGCGAAGCCTGGGACACACGAGTTTGGATCGGTGCTGTGGAAGCTCTACAAAGGCGAGCAGGACTACGTCGTAAAAACTTCGCTGGAGACCGAAACCGAGTTGTATGGTAAGATTGTTTTCCAAAGCTAGCTCCTGGTCTCGGAAGAAGGACGAAGAAAATCAGAACTCAAACGTGTATAACTTCTACCTTGGTCGATTGATTGTAAATATTTCCGGTGACTAGAGCTCGTCATTGTCATCGTGCTCGTAATTCAGCACCCCCAACTCTTGTGTTGTTGCTGCTGAAATTTTCTTCTCGCTCGATGCCATGAGCTCTGGTATCCATTCATCTCCATCGATGAAAAGCGGGCTCAAGTAAGGATAAGCTTGCCAATCCGAAAGAGAGTGAGACCAGTTCGCTCGTTTTCTCCTGTTGGATCCCAAGCCAGAGCACTCGTATTCGCCATAAACAACCGTCCTGCAAAGAGCTCAAGCCAGTGAGCAAGGAAAAAATTCGAAGCAAAGCAACGAAAGAAGTCCGGAAGAAGAAAAAACGAATAGAGAAAGGTTGCGTGAACTTACAAAGTTCTGCCCGAGTCTCCCCAGTCGTCCCATCCAACCGGATGGACGATGCTGTCCATGGAAGTGTACGCAAAGATTACTCTGGAGAACGGACCCCACGCTCGTCCCAAGAGAACGTTTCCAGTCCCCGTTATACTACAGTTGACGAACGAAAAAGCCGAGGCTTCCGACCACTTTAGTCGTCGCTGAGCAGTGATCGACCCCGAGACTTTCTTCGATGGGTTCGCAACTGAGTGGAGTTCACAGTTCTGAGAAACACGTAGAAAACTCTGAAGGAGCTCAAGCTTTTTGAAAAAGAAGTACCTCGTAGAGAGATCGTCCACTCCCACAGATGAAATCGATGGATCCCTCGATGAAGCATTCCTTGAAGTAGTGTCGGCCTTGGTCGTCGAATAGAGTGTCTTGGAAGCCATAAAAGCCGCAGCCATAGAACGCTGCTCGGTCGGATGAAACTCTCAGAGCAACGGCTTGAGCTCCTTGAACTCCAACTCCTGGTCCTGGAGAAGTGTTCTACGCTGGAATACGTTAGTAGATTGAACATCTCGCTGCCTTACCAGAAAACTCAAGTTCTTGGCAACAAAATCTGTTGCTTCCACGCTCACACTTGCACTTTTGTATGTTCTGCCGCTAGAATTTGCGGTGTCGTTCCAGGCTATGGCTGTGAGGTCCATTCCTTGTCCCTGCAAAGTAATATACGGCTTGCTATGTGGGATCAACACCTTTTCCCTGGATCCAAACAAAGAGAACGATGACAGAAACCTTGCAGCGAGATTCAGAAACTTTCTTACGTGAATGTTCCATTGTTAATATAGATATGAACTGGAACTTGGTTGTAGTCGGGAACAGCGTCGATCGCATCCTGGACTGTGCGGAAATCTCCAAATCCTTTTTGATCTACAATAAAAACAACCGGTGAAGCCTCACGATCGTCACAACTGCTAGTGATATCTAAAGTGAAAGGAAGAGTCAGGGAAGCTGGCTCTGGAGAAAACAGGCTTTGGAAGACACACATAGCCATGGCGGCGCCATAGATTCTAGGAGCTGTGTGAGAGCGCAAAAGCACGAAGACATGCAAAAGCAGCCACGCAACAGCAGAAAGAACAACACCAACAACGAGTTGTTTGGTTTTTCTCGAAGCTCGAGTCATAGCGAGATGGATTAGAGCCGTAGGAATTTCCACCAAGCTTGCTGCTTAATACGAAGAGAACTCTTCTGGAACAACTGAAGAACCATCTCTAAGCAAGTAAGGACGCAAACAATCAATGAAGGAAGAAATGCCTTACAAGCAATGCAAAGAATTTTAGCAAGGCCAAGTCTGGAAAACAAAACAAATCCATCGCTCAAAGGTTTCTAGCGAAGAATCAAAGAATGGAATCGAACGGCACAATTAGAATGCAAAATTCCGCTAGAGTTTCTTACAATCATAAGAATTTCTTGCAAGCAACCATGGAATGGGAATGGCGAGGTTTCGTTTATGCAAAGCAAAGCCCTGTAGCTACTACCACTAAAGAAAGAATGCTGGCATCGCGATCACATACCTGGAAGGAGCGACCATCATGGATGGAACGCGAGCGTTTGTGGCGTCGACACGCCACGGCGAGACGCGTCAAATTCCCCATTCTAATAGCAAATAGGGTTCTACAACTAGGCTAGGGTTTTACATTGGAGGAAATATTTTGCGGTACTCCGGTGATCGATCGATCGATCGCGTGCCGTGCCAGGTTTGTAGCGATGTCGCATTCCGGAGGAGGATACTCGAGCGCGCCATCGGCGCCACCGGCGCCTTCATCGCCCTATCAATCATGGCAGCCGGGGCAATCCACAGCCTACTCGTCATCGCCATACGCGCAGCCTCCGTCGGCCTCGCCAGGGATGTCTCCAGCTCCTCCTTATGCATCTCCATACTCGTCTGGATCTGGAGCTCCTCCATCCTATGGGGGCGCCGCGCCGACGCCTCCCTATGGAGGACCTCCATCGGCTCCTTGGGCTCAGCCTCCATCGGGCTATCCATACGGCTATCCACAGCAGCCTCCACAGCCGGGCTACGGCCAATTCGGGGCGCAATTCCCTCCTGGGACCGATCCGGAGATCGTTCGCGCTTTCCAGGGCGCCGATCGCGATGGCAGTGGGACGATCGATGATATGGAGCTCCAGACGGCGCTCTCGGCTGGGCAGCCTTTCAGCTTGCGGACGGTCCATCTCATGCTCCACCAGTTTGCCAACAATGCGAAGAGAATCGGTAAAGCCTTTTTCTTGTGCTTCTCTTTTTTACTTTTGAGACTGAGTGGAAGCTTCGATCGTTTTCCAGGACCAACGGAGTTTGCGACGCTCTGGAAGGCTCTAAGAGACTGGAGAGTAAGCACTAATCTTAATTCTATAGTATGATTGATATGGAACTTTGCCTGTGACTTCCAGGGAACTTTCGAGCGGTTTGATAGAGATCGCAGCGGGAGAATAGAGACCGGAGAACTTAGAGACGCGCTCTTGAGCCTCGGATATGCAGTCCCACCATCGGTACTGCAAATTCTAGTCTCAAAGTACGATAAGACTGGGCAAGCCCGCGGCCTAGATTATGACAACTTTGTCGAGTAAGCTGTTTTCCTTTTGTTTCGTGCTCGTGTGCGTTAACTAACGCTCTGCTCATTGTTTCCTCTCTTATACAGGTGTGGCTTGGTTGTAAAGGTGAGTTCATCGTTTTATTTTCTTTCTTTTGTTGTTTTGGTGACACTGACAAGTTCCTACCGTGCAATGCAGGGACTCACGGAGAAGTTCAAGGAGAAGGATGTGAAGCTCACGGGCTCGGCCACGCTAAGCTACGAGGCGTTCATGCTTATGGTTTTGCCTTTCATTGTTGCTTAGAAATATTACTCTCTTGTTAGATTACTCATCGTGTTTGTATGTTTGTTTGCAAAGTATTGGAACCAGGCAGTAGTGAAAGCGAAAGAAGACGTACGTGTTCTATCGCTCGAAAAGACTTGCCACTGTATAATCAGGTACTCACAAACGACTAATTCAAGTGGCTCATCCAATTTGTCAACTAAGTGCATTTGTGTTTTTATGGAAACTTTGCCATAGCTTTGGTGTTTACAGTCAGTGGACTGACTAAAATTTGAGGTTTCTGCAGGACAAACTCTGCAACACTCCGATTTTTCAAGTGTTTCAAAGACACGAACTTCGGCCTTGACAACCTACAAAATTTCCAACACGGTAAGACACGCCTAGACTATGACAAGGTTCCTGCTTAAGTCTTAAGATCGATTTGTCAATTAATTGGCAAGTTCCGTGTTCTTCCTTCTTTCTTCTTTTGCATCTACAGGTGTAAGGCCAGTTCTTCAGTTTATCGTTTTGTCCAGCAGCAACTTGGCGATGATGCTATCAGGTTTTGCGACGATGCTAAAAGCCATGAAACTTTCATTTGTTTGTAATATATTCTCGTCGTGTGTGTCTTTTTGGAAATCAGAGTTGGCTCGACTTTTCTCGAAACCAATATGTACATATCTTGCAGCTTCATTCTCGAGGTAATCCTTCAATGCTTATTCGATCAGCCTCTCACTGACCTTGTATGCTGTAACATATATATAGGATATAAAAAAGAGTCCAGGGAGATTCCAACTCTTTCTTCATCGTCATCGTCTGTTGAAGCGTGCGGGTGATCGCCTGGGCGAGGCCTGGTATCTTTGCTGGTTTGGAGCTCCGCCACCACTGGCAGGACTTGGAAAGCCATTTCTATGGTGATGAGTATGTCCCTTTGGCGAGTTGTTATTCCCATGGTGGCTGAAGTTCCCGTTTACAATCAGTGGTCTCGGCCTGGAGCTCGGGTATGGATTTGTGTTGTAGTTTAGAGGTTGGAGCTGACCCGTGATGTCGCTTGTGACTTGCAGAGGCTCCAGGTGACGAACAATCTCCTTCATATCCGGCCTCGACTTTGCGTCCCGACTGAGGCAAGCCGCGGCGAGCTGAGCGGCCTTTTGGAAGGCTTTCATGGGGCACTGGCCGTCGAGCTTTGGATCCACCAGTCTGAAGATCCTGCGCTTGTCGTGGAGATAAGGCCTGGCCCATTCCACCAAGTTGTGCTCTCCAGTGGGTCTAGACTTGTCCATGGATCGTCTGCCAGTTAGCATCTCCAGGAAGACAACTCCAAAGCTGTAAACATCGCTCCTGGCTGTCAAGTGACCTGGAGGAAACAAAGGTACGATCCTTTTAAGTTCAAGAACTCTCAAGTTTTTTTCTTTCCTTGTGAACTTACCAGTCATCACGTACTCGGGAGCTGCGTAGCCGTAAGTTCCCATGATTCGTGTGGAAACATGCGTCTTGTCTCCTTCCGGGCCATCTTTCGCGAGGCCGAAATCCGAGAGCTTGGCCGTGTAGTCCTGAGAGGATTTAACGAGTCACGGGTTTGTTAGTCTCCAAGATTGTTTCTTCATTTCTTTATCTTCTACTCACGTGGTCTAGCAGGATGTTGGAAGTTTTAAAGTCGCGATAGATCACAGTTTCCCGATGCAAAAAGGCGAGGCCTTGCGCGGCTCCCAATGCGACCTTCATTCGAATCGCCCAAGTTAGAGGCAATGATCCTTCTGCCAAAACAAGAACAATAAAATTTGAAGACAACGCGTGAGCCGATAGTCGTAAGAAAAAAAAACTCTCTGTGACGAGCAACTTACTGCGAAATAGATGGTTTTCCAGGCTACCGCGAGGCATGAACTCGTAGACAAGAAGTCGATGCTCGTCCTCCGCGCAGTAACCAATCAACTTTACGAGATTGAAGTGGTGAAGCTGGCCGAGAAAATTCACCTCCGCCTGTAAGTTTCATCCATTCCGTCAACAAAACCGGTGTTTTCTTCGCAGACTAGAACTTACCAGCCATTCTCGGTGGCCTTGGAATCCTTCCGGATTCAGCTGCTTCACTGCTACAGTTAAACCCGAGCCGGGGCGAACAGCGGCCGTGCCATTCTCGTCGATCCACCCCTTGAAAACATGGCCGAAGCCGCCCTCCCCGATCCAACTATCCGGCCGGAAGTTCCGAGTAGCGGACTTGAGATCACCGAAGCTAAACACGCGGAGGCCGGAGCTCTGGCGGAGGATCTCATCTCCGGACCTGGGAGTGGAGGGCAGTACGTCGGAGGAGGAGAAGGATTTCTTGCGCTGGGTCTGTGGGGTTTGCTCCGCAGGCGAATCCGGGTGATCTACAGTGACCGAGAAGTTAGAACAAGCAAGCCGAGACAAACGAGATCGAAGAACTTGCTGCTGTGATCTGTACGAACCTGTGCTTGGGGTCACGCTGCCGTTATCTCGATGCTTACCGACGCATCGTCCCAGAGCCGACCCAAAAGCGGACCAGCAAGAACACATCCTCCGTGCTGGTGAGCTATCGGTTCTAACTCTGTATCCTTTGCTTTCAAGTTCTTAGATCTTCGTGGAGCTCTCGAGAATCTAGCGTCCCTTTCCTCCTTCCCGGCAAGGTACCAAAGCTATCTATCACTCGCTCGCCTCTACCTTCGTCTCATTTTGTTCCAGATTCCCGGGGATGTGAGCGCTGGAAAACACGATAACACGGTGCTCGTGTTTGGCGACTACTGACCTGGTAAACACGAGCTCCTTTCTCCCCCCCACGCTCACTCACTGCTTCTTCCTCGAATCGATCACTTCCGAGAGACCCATTAGTTACTGCGAAATCTGCGAGAACTTGCTCCACCTAACTAAGAGGGAGCATGAGAGAAGAACAGCGAGGGTAAAGAGAGAGAGAAGACCGAGACAACAGCGAAACAAAACAAGCAAAGGAAGCAAGCAAGAAGAAGATTATTTCTTTATGAGAGAGACATAGAGTGAGAGAAGAAAACCAAGGCGGAAGAAGAAGAAGAACAATGAAGAAAATTTCACCGAGGCACTGTGCTGAATGCGACAGCGAGACAGGCAGTGAGAAGGCAGAGAAAGGCACTGGTGCTGCTCAGTATAAGCATATGATAAGAATGAAAGGTACAATGTTTTTCAAGTTTTATTTCTGGTGATTTTTCTATGCTCCAATCTTTTGCCTGTTGGTTTACTCCAACTTGTGTTATCTATCATTCTGGAGCTATCTCATCTCCATCTCCATGGTCTTGTTCTTCCTGAAAGTTTTGGAGTCTTGGTAGTGGTTTGTTTGCTTCTTTCGTTTCTTGTATGGGAGAGGATGTTCTTCTTCTTTCTTCTGCTTGGACTGGGGAACCAGTCCAAGATGGGCAGCCAATGCCGCGTTCCAAGGATAATTAGTTTTGTATTATGGATTCTAGAATCATGTTTAGATGATAAGTTATTAGCAATGGAATCCAAGCGGAAGTCCAGCAACAGGTCAACTGTTGTGATGCTAGATACGAGAAAAGCTTCCCAAACGACTAGAGCTATGTTTTTTTAGTTCTAGTGGAGAAGAGTTTGTATCAAAACCAAAATGTGATCTTGCTGTGAGTGGAGTTTTCGACAGAATGTTGCAAGAACAACACGGTGATGTGTTCTCTTTTTTACTTCAGAAAACACAAGAATCGGGCTCTGATTTGAGAGCAATCACAGGATCATTCTATGCGCTTTCTTATCCCACCTTCCATGTTCGAATTCATGATCAGTGTGACACTGACTGCCGTTTCTTGCATGTGTGACTTTCACCTTAACAATGTTGCCATGAGAACAAACCAAGCGGCATTTTGCTTGGCAATCTTCTTCATAGCTCGAGCTCCACTCCGCACTGAATCCGGCAGGCACCCAGCAGTGTTTTCCACACCACCACATACTCCGGAACTGGCATGCTTTGCAGCAGCTGCTCCGCCTCGGAAAGCCTCCCGACTCGTCCAAAATCATCGATTAGTCCGTAGAGATTGACGAACACTCCTTCAGGCTCGCGCACGCGTCCAGCGCGACGCGGTTGAGATTCAGGCGCCCTCGAGCCGCAAGTGGCAGAAGAGATCCATCCCCCCATTCTAGATTCGTAGTAGCTCACCACATTCTTAATTCTCAAAGAGAACATTTGCCTGGAAAATATGCCCGTTCTCGGCATATGCCTGGATCATGGTGCTGTAAGAAAACACATTCGTATCGTCCATTGAATTGAACATTGGCTTGGCCTTCTTCAAAAACCCCACCTCTGCACACCCATAACTTATAGTGTTACGATATATAAGATCTCACTCTGCCGTCTCCTCCAAATCCCCATTGTGGGCATTAACGACACAAGCCTTCGATAAAAAATCTCTCTCGTTCTCCACCTCCTCATTCTCCAGAGTGTGCCTGGAAGATCGGGTTCCAGCAGCCTGTCCTCAAGGCTGCCGCATCCATTTTCAAGGCAAGATTGGAGAGGTATCGATTGAGCTCGTAGTTTCATGCCACGATGGAAGGAAGCGATTGGGATTGCTCGGCTGGGGCAAAAGGACCCAAAATCCCAGAGAGTTCTTGGATGGATTTTTTTCCTGCTACTAGTGAATTTAGTGTGTTCTTTGTCTACGATGGTTCCTATCTTTCGTCAGCTCAGCGAATACTGAGGAGGGGAAGATATCCATTCTGTGAAAGCTAAGAATAATGGTTGATGATGATGCTTTGTTCATTTGCTTGATGGAATTTTTTTGTTTTGGTTCATTTTAAGATAGAGATGTATGAACTCAGGATCTCTGGTGCACTCTTCATAGCACCTTCTCATACTTCAGCCAAGGATCCTCAAAGTCACATGTATTGATGCAAGTCTTTGTTACATGACACCTCACCACATAGACATTAAGGTTTTCTTGTTCTGTCCGCTAGTGTGGTGGGCTTTGATCCCGATTTGTCTCATGGTATTGGAGTTGGGATAGTGCTATGGAAGGAAAGCCATCTATTCACGAGTTTGATGGAGAAGGGTTTGAGAACATCCATTTACAAATGGATTCTTTGAGGTTAGAGGAAAATGGTAGTATCCAAACTCACATTACCAAGTTTTAGGGCTTCTTCACACAACTTGCAGCTGTTAGGGTAAAGTACTGTCTCACGGATGAATTCTATAGGTTCTTGCCAGTTAGTTGGAAGAATGCAATTGAGAGCCTGTTTCTCCAACCAAGGATGACTTGAGCAGATGTTGTGAGGAGTCTTTGCAACATTAAGGGCATGCGAAGCGAGAGAGTAGAAATGCTGTAGGCTATGTATGCTTCGCAGGCTTTTGGTGATGCCAAGGTGGCAAAACCGCATACAGTTGCAAATGCCTAAAAAGGGCAAAATTCTGTGGCATCTGGGCATGCAAAGTTTAAATTTGCCAAGAATCAGTGTGCTTGCTACTTGGAGATGGGCGCGGACCATACTTGAGCTCACGAGTTGAAGAGTTGAGCTCACGAGTTGAGCTCAATTTTCAATTGTAATTTAGTACAAACATTATAAATTTTAAAATTTTAAGGTTATGGCGAACCTAATAATTTAATAACTCTCTATATATTATATAGATAAAAATGTTCTAAAGAACACATTTTGTTCTAATAATTTAAATATTTACTACATGCAATGATAGGGACATTTGTTAGAACATAAAATAAAATGTTTGAAAAAAGAGTATTCTTGTCACTTCTTTAAATTTGTACTCTATGCTTTCTGGCTAGTAAATGTTAGGTTTGTCAGAATTAAAAAATTATTAAATTTGAAATAAGATTCTATGTAAAGCCATATAACCGTTTGAAAGGAAAAAAAATAACCGTTGATTTAAGCTTATTGCATATAAAAGAAAGACTTGGTTCTTTGTAGAATACATTCTTGAGGGGTTTGTCGTAGCATACTGTCTAGAATTTATAGATCTTCATTCACACTCTCATTCGAAAAAAGGGAAATACACCCACAAATGTCTATGGGTTCTAGTGTTGGTAATTTTAACTCTCACAATCTTTCTTCCCAGGGCTCAAGGGCTAGGAGATGCAATAATTATCCCATTGCACAGCATAACCAAATCACACAAGAGAATGAAAGAGAGAATAGTGAGGATAGTGATCATGAGTTGGAGATAAATGCAATGACAGAGGGTGCAACAAATTGGGTGAAAAAGAATGCCCTCTTACTTGTTTAAGAAAAGTGCAATTCTGCCACTTTCAAGAAGTGCCCCATATGTTTTCTAGACTGCTGGAAACAATGGCAATGATCAGTATGATGGTATATATGCTCTTGCGACACACTGCAACATCACGCACCCGAAAGACTACGATGAAATCTTTTATGAGATGGTAAAGACAGAAATGGAGACACACGAGTACTATGGGCAGTATTGCGAGAAGAACACTCGGAAGCATATAAAATGAAAAGTGAAATGAAAAAGCACATTTGTATTAATTATATAAAGTATAATAAGTTTTATTGATAGAGAATAAACATCGATAGTGTTGGAGAAATCTAATTAGCTCCAAAAGTTTTCTACAACTCAGCAATAGTAAGGCTTGCTTGGTGTATATGAATATCCACTTTAGGATCCTGGTGCAAGATGTTGATGAAGATGTAGTACATATGCTTGCAAGGAGCATATGCCTTCCCGTGTTCCTCGCGCTTCGTAAAGTCTAGACATGTGCAAGAAGGAAAGTCGTGAATGGCAATTGTGTACTCTCCACCTTCTGTTTTGACTATGTACTCCTTTGCAAGCGCAGTGATGTACTTTGTGGAGAGAATCTCACACTCAAGTGTTTGAGCCAAGTTTATTTTACCTTGCTTCTACTTGGAGACGGTACTAATAAATTTAACTGCTTTACCTTTTCGTGCTTGCCTCCTGTGCATCTCTGTAGGAATAGTCCTGCTCCTGTCACTCATGTCTCCAACTCTCCTCTCAAGATTAAAACCAGATTTCTCAAGGTTTTCAATCTCATCCGAGGTGAGCGCGACCCCATTAGCAACCGGCCATTCTTTAGGTACTGCATCAGGTTTAGTCACTATAGTGTCTTCAAGCCGCTTCGTATGGTTGGCGTCGGTGTTGCAACAATATAGCCAGCACCATCTTGAAAATCCTGCTTGCTTTCGTTCCCCATAGAAACATGGGGCTGGAACAGAAGCAGATTTTTCACCACGAATCCAGGCCCAACACTTGCCCCTCGGAAGCATCCCCACACACCTTACATTTGATTTTGCTGGCACACGTCGGATTGCCCATTGCTTCGGCTCCACGCTACGGTAAGCAATTTCAACCTGTTGCGATGCACTCTCTTCATCAGCCACTTGAGGTGGCTCAGTCCGAGAGCGGTGTCTTGGAGCAGAATGGTACTCGACATTAGGCCTGTGGGAGCTTTTTGCTCCAAGGTCCATACCAACATCTTCCCCAGCAAAGGAAAAACGACGCTTTGAGTGGACAGTCTTCATATCACCAATAGAAGCTCGGGGAGTGTACTCCATAGATGTGCCACGGACCACTTCCTCAACTGCAGTTGCCACTGTTCGGGCGGGTGGAGTTAATTTTCTCTTCATCCTATCATGTAACATCTCAACAGAAGGCCCTATTCCCATGTATCTTCCTTCCTCGAATGCCAGTGCTTTTGAAGATTGCTCTATAGCACGTATCAAATCTGATAGACAGGCTTCGTATAGACTCATCTTCCCTTTCCCTGCCTCAGAGGAACGCCAACTCCAATGCTTACTTTCAGAGAGATTCACAGTTGGGGTGTATGCGAGGTCCTCAAGTGGTTGATCCTAATGGAAAAGGCAATATTAAAAGGTAATAAAAGGAGAAGAAAAAATATAAACCAACCTGAAAAGAGTGATGTTCCCATTGGAACATCCTAACTTCCCACCATCCTAACCATGACTCAAGTTGTGGTAGGCAACTTACGTCTGTATGGCCATCTTCACGCCACCACATTCGGATCTCATTTGCTTTTGCCTCATGCTCTTCTTCAGAAGGTGCAACCTGCCATTGTTTGCACAACTCCTTAAATATTGATTGAAACTCTGGCTTGATAAGATGGCAGTGCTAGTTTAGTCTTTGAGCCCAATGGAACTCACAAGTCCTCTCACGACCTTCCAATGGTTGACCATTCCC